TCTCTCTCTCTCTCTCTCTCTCTCTCTCTCTCTCTCTCTCTCTCTCCCTTTTTGATCGCCTTCCTTTTGACCTAACAGTCATCGCCTTTAGAGCCTCTCGTCCGCGCGGACGGTCGACGCCCCCGCCAAGGGGAGAAAGTTTAGATTTCGTCATACTCCCCCTACGCACCCACTTTTGAGAGAGAAGCGTTGCGACGATTGTTGTATGGATTCGGTGTTGGTTCGGATGACCGGGAACGCGGGATCTTGCCCGTGTTCATCACGTACCTCCGATGGTCTCATTTCGCTACCGACCTTCCCCATCACAGATGACGACAGCGTCTACTGCGATGCGGACGTACGGCGCGCGCTGAGGCGGACAGAGCAAGTGTGTTGGCAAGACCCGCCTCGGGCTTGTGAGATAAGGGGGAACGGGTTTGTGTTGATTGATCGCTTTGATTCCCCGACTCTAATATTGCCTTATACGGGTTTAACGGTGTTGCCCTGGTCAGCCGCTCACGCCGCGTGGCGACCGCAGTTTGATTGTCGCTGGTGTCGCCAGGGGGACTCATGTTCGTGGCGATGGCTGGTCCTGGGTTACGAGGGAGCGACACGTTTCTCCGAGCTTTCCCGTAGTGCGGGGGCGCTGCCCGCACAATTTCGAATTCAAATGCCGGCGAGTCCTCCCGCCGCTTTACCCTCCGTAAACTTTCGCGCGGGCTCTATGAGTCCGACGCCGAGGCTTGAAGGCCTCGAACCAACCACCTCTACAGCAAAAGACCCGAGGGTTTGGCCACTTCGTGAGGCCGATGACGAGGCCTGAAGGCTTCGAACCCACCACCTATCCCCGGAACCCATGACGACCGGAATTTTTGCCGTTTGCCACCATGGCCTCCTCCCCTAGATGCCTATTCCCGTCCCGATGCACGACGGCAATTCATTTTCGCAGAAACCCTTCTGATTCTATCGTTTCAGAGTAATCCGACCCCCGCGGGACTTTGCGACGACAGTTCGACTCCGAGAAAAACCTCGGCCCAGAAACGAGAGCCTCCCGTTCCGTCCGGGAGACTCAACCCTTACGGCCAAAAATCCTCGGCCACGCCCCTCCTAGAACTCTGATCGGCGACCCCGTACGGGAAGCCGCGAGGGGGCGTGAGGTTGCGTATCACAGGCACATCTCGCTGCATGCATGACCTGTTTTGCCTGGATGCACGCCAGACGTGGCGCACATAGGAGCCGCGTCAGAGAAAAATGGCTGGGAAACGTACCGATGGTTTAAATTCTATCATGCTCTGTTCCTGCACCCCTTCCTTCCCCTGCTATAGTAAGGTTTGTGCTCCATAGACTTGATTTGGAGAGTTTGCGACGCAATTTGGCGCTCCACAGCAAAACGCAATTCTGTTTTTTTTCCTTCTTCCTCTTTTGAAAGGGCCTCCGTCTTTTCTGGAAAGAGCTGGTTGCATGCAGCCCCCACCCCTGAGCGAAGGGGGGGGGCAACTTTCGTTCCGAGCTCTCTAAATTAAGCAGCCCAGCCACCCTACTCTTCCTCCAAGGGTTACCGACAGTGTAGCATATGCTTGTGGACTTTGTGCAAACACGGCCAGACTCAGCCGCCAGATCCAGTATGTCCCCAGAGATGATGGCCGCATTGCATAGTAGTTATCCTCTAAAGAGCCACAAAATTTGTGGGCTGCGGAGCCCCACTATTGATTGATTGATTGAGTGAGAGGGGGGCCACTTAGTCAGTGGAGCACAAGCCTGAGACCCCAGCTTGTTGGGTAGCTTCGACTCTGTCAAAGTGGAAGCCCTTGGACCATGTCCCACTAGCATCATAGAGTTCTCTCAACAAGGGCCAAGTTCCACTAGCAGTGTCGAGTTTCCGAAGCAACGCCTGCATCTGGACGTGTTTGTGGAGATGTGCGGTTGAGGAAACTAAATGCGATTTTCTGCACATGTCTACAAAACACGTCCAGATTCGAGCGTTGAGGAAACTCTACGCTGCTGGAGGGACTTGGCTCCAGGTCAAGGTTCCAAGGGCTCAGTTAGTTGTGTTCTCTGATGAAAGTGGTAGACTCTCGTTGCCGTGACGAGTAATTTCTGACCATACCTTATTACTTCACTATCTGCGGGAAAGTCCTAAGTTAAACCTATTTATTGAATTCAATTCAATAAATACAACGGACAGGAAACCAACATATGTTTGTGTGGGAGACTAGAAAGGAAAAAAAAGGAAAAAAGAAGGATCCTCAAAGACTATGGGGCTCGTTAGACACTCCTCGGGGACGCGATTCCAAGGATTTTGTCTTCGTTCCACCTGTCCTCGGAGATGAAATCGGAAACGAAAAATTAATGTGAAAACACTCCGAGGACAAATCCTTGGGCTCCAAGGATTTCCCAGCCAAATCATACTTGGCTCCAAGGGACCTCGATCCACGTTTCACGGAGAGGAGAGGGCATGCACGTAGGGAGACGTTTTTTTTTTTTTTTTTTTTTTTTTTTTTTTTTTTTTTTACAATGGTTGAATCCGGATCGTGGTGGCACCCTATTGGCTGAAAGCCTCAAGCACAACTGTTTTTCTTTTTCTTTTCTTTCTTTTTCCCGAAAAAACTCCGAGGACGAATCTGTGAGCCGATGCTCCAACGATGAGTCGAAAGATGACGCCAAAACGCAAAATTTTTGGAAGGATTCCATCCTTGGGCCCGAGGACGCTCCGACGAGCCCCTATACATGAAGAATCTGAACAAAAAGCGAGTCAATTCGCTTTCTGTATGATGATATCAATGAGCAGTGAACACTGATCATTTACAGGTACGATGGTTAGCAGTATTGATTCTGTGATGCGGAATCCAAAGAGTGGAGATCAAGGTCAGCGAGTGCTGGTCCTGGTCAAGTTCATGGTACAGTAACTGTACATTACAGTAACATTCGTGCCCGAATCTGGACAAGTTTGTGCAGTAACATTCATGCCCGAATCTGGACAAGTTTGTGCAGTGACATTCATGCCCGAATCTGGACGAGTTTGTGGGAGGTGTGCAGAAAATTTCGTTGAGTTTCCTCAACCCTACATCTCCACAAACATGTCCAGATTTGGGCGTTGATCAAACTCAATGCTGCTAGTGGGACTTGGACCGCGGCCGTTGCAGTGTCATTCGTCAGGTGAGAGAGGATGGTGGGGTTGATGGGGGAATGGTTGGTCACATT